CCAATCAATTGTATTTGTTGGATCATTAACATAACTACATAGATCACTAGTTTCGAAATCACAAACAGCTAAAAGAAGAAACAAACATTTTTACATAAGACACAAAAAAAAGAACAAAATAAGATTTCAAATTTACTTGATACTGGACAAGGTCCTTGATTAAAAGCAAGATCATCAACACTAATATCACCTTGAAAACCTCTACCAACAATACTTTCTACAACTAATTGATATGGTTGACCAATTGGTTGTTGAATATTACCACGTAATGATATACGACCAAATAACCATTGATTACCCTAAAAAAAGCCAATATATATATTTGAAAATCAATTGTTTTATTACTTGATTGCCTTCTTTTTGCCATAGAGCTTTACCAAGATTTCCATCTAAAATCAAACAAAAACAAATTAATAAACTAAATTTATAAAGAATGAATTCAACTTACTAATTCGTGCATAGACATTTAATCGATAGACATCGGATCCAAACATATGATAATAAAATCGAAAACATTGTTCATCATTTGTAACAATCAAATCAGGACTAATTAAACGAGCTGTATCGTTAAATTTTGCTGGTGAACTTGTTTCAATATGTATAAAAAAACCAGATCTTGATCCTGTTGTATGATCACCATCAGGTCCTGTACTGGTAGTCAACGTTGAACCTTTTGTAACAATCCATTTAAAGTTTGTTGTATCATCATGTTTCCAATTACATGTACAATTACATTCAAAATCACAATCATATATTGTGGGTGCTAATTTAAATAAAAACAAAAAAAATCAATGATCAATCTTTTTTAAATATATTTATCCATACGATAAGTCATTGATGTAATGGGTTCACTTGATGTTGTTGTTAGTTCTCCTGTTGAATATGTAACATTAGGTGAACAAACATTATTATCAATAGAAATATCATCTAAAGTTCTCTTCCTCTCAAAAAAGTCAGTTTTTGTCAGAATGGTCGAAATTAAGATAAACGCAGGATAAGACAGTCCGTGATCTAATCATTTGCCTTCTTGAAAATATGCGGTTTTCAAAAAAAACAAATCCAAAAAATCTTTTTCGTTTTTTCTTTATTTATCCTTTTTTGATCGCGTATCTAAGAATTCTCGAAGGAGGTTCATTATAGTCAGTAGCCTTTTTTTTGTTCGAAAGAGCATGTCAAGATACAGGACATGACAGAGTCCCTTTTTTTGAAGTAAGCCTTCAGAGACGTGCATTGCACCTAGATTATATCAGTTGATAAAATTTCTCCAAGTCAATTTTAACGTTTAACAGAAAGTGGCATCGTCAGACTGATTACTCCTAAGAGAAAATCAAATTTCGTTCAATTTATTGCTAATGCTTTTTAATTGGCGGAACAACTTACCTTTACAATACACATTATAACCTATGCCTTAAAATCTTTTTCTCTTTTTTTTTCTATTAGTCTTTTCGTCACACATACTACATGTATTGTTCGTTTTGATTTTCTGGTTCTCTGATGTAGTATATCACTCTATTTGTGAAGTTTTGTCCATCAACCTTGTCCTTCTAATATTTATTCCTCTCTTTGAGTTTCTACCTTTCGAGCTGATTTGCTATTGTTTCAGTTTTTGAACACAGTGACCGATACTGTTCCATACCTATTTACAACAAATTAGATATATTTCTCTTGTCAGAATTTTACATAGGTTTTTTTGAAGAACAAAATATTTCTGTAGGAATATTGACTAGAAAAGCTCACTCATCATATAAGTGAACCAATTTTTCATGCAAACTGCGGGTAATTAACACTTTGTTTTTATTGTTTTTCGAGCTTACAAATAAATATTTTGTAAGCAAACTTCACGGGCAATTTTAAAAGAAAGAAACCTGAACGCTCAAAAGTTTGAAAATAAAGCATTTAAATCATTAGCAGGTTCAATGTTCATAAGATATCTTTAGTTTTATTATTTCATTTTAATATTCATTTACGATATGTATAAATAAAATTGTAATAGATATTTATTGAAAACTAATCCGAATCTACCTTAATTTATGCATAAAATAAATCAATGCGGAAACAGACCACATCTGACTTCAGTGTGTCTGGCTGAATTTTATTAATAGAAGTATATTTTTAGGGTTCTATTAATTTTGTAGTTTTGCTCATAGGTAATTGTCAAGACATGAATCACTATTTCTTAAGAAATATTAGTGCAAAAACTCTTCAGAAAAAAATCGAAAAAAAACTTCTCCAAGTATCATGAGACGGCCGCGCTGCCACTTAAAAACGCTTTTGGGCGGGACCGCCTCCTCCTCGTTTTTTAGGTGCGGTGCACGTCTCTGTAGGCTTTGTCACTATTATATAAAACAGTACTTTTAAAATCAGAGAGTTTTGAGTTGCCAAATGAGCTATTTTTTACCCTTGTTGGTTAAGTAAATACCCGAAAACGTCATGGTATAGGGCTGGAAATGTTATCATAGCTTCTTCACTACAGCCACAACGTATCCTGAAAATTTCGTGTGATTTGAATGTTCTTAGTCTAGAATTGATTTTTGAGGGATGAGAAGAGAATTAGACAAAAAAAATGATAAGCTATTAGCACAATTCCTGCAGGATTAAAATATAAGAAACGATGTAGCTGCTCTTGCTAATCATGAAGGGATTGTTTCATTGTATCTACCTTTGGACACAGTTCTTCAACATTGTTTTATCTGATCCTACAGAAATGGAATAAGAAATTAGCTCATATATTATAATGAGATTTTATTGATATACGGTCTGTGATTATACATTAACGTCTGTCATGATAAGTAATAGTTTCTGACTAGTGTTGCCCTTATTGGTAAGTGATTACTCTGTAGGGAGAGACTCATACAATTCTAAATTTTGCCTATTGACTGAGTCAGTTCTCCAACCTTGATCTATATAAAAAATTATTTTTATATTCCTTAAAAAGAATATATCATACTACTGACCTTCATTGGGATTATTTGATTGAGCTTTAATAAATAAAAAACATCAATAATAGTTTTTCGAGAAAATCATGTTTTTTTCTGATCAAACTTACCTGCAATGCCAATAAGGTATAGAAAAAAGAACAAGAATACAAAACTATTCATGATTCTTGATTTTTAAGTGATTTCTCGCATATGAAATTATATATTTCTAAAACAGAAAATGATGTGCATTTAAATCTTTATTCTTAACTCTTTGTACGTCCGTTTTCATTTTGAAATACTTCAAAAAAAGTGTCTTATCTCCTTTTTTTTTGTCCCTTTTCTAGTAGTAGATATAAGTGATAATTCTCTCTCTCTCCTTTTTTCACTTTGCCATTATTCCAAATCGTCTACTAAAGAGAGAGACTTCAAGGCAGACAAATAGCGGTATCACTTTTGTCAAGATAATTTTTGTGTCTATACCTATAAGCAAGGGATGACTAATACGTCTCAACAAAAACATAAGTTTGGTTACTAACAATCAAAGACAATATGTTAGCCTTACAAAGATACATCAGGTAAATATTGCACGTAAAAAAAATAAAATGTTAACTTTTTATCTTGTAAAAGATATACAAATATGGTTGTGAGCAAACAACAGACAAGTATCTAAGGACTGAGAAATAAGAATTCTTTTTTAGTTTCTTATCAATTTTATGATTGCTAAAATAAATAAAAAACTTACGAAATTCGCGATATTTTTTGCTCTTACATTTATATTTGTCAAGGACTTTGTGAATATGAATGTGTAGGTATGAAAACTATTGCAGAAAAAGCATAACTCATGCTTTTATAAATGGTGGGACTATGAAGGAAGTATTGATCAATTCTCGTTTCTCCGAGGGATAATCATACATCCATTGCTAGTTCCTAGACAACTTAGAAATCCCTATTTCTCAATTCTTGGACATTGCTCATTTCGACTACTGTTTTTTTCGTTGAACAACTTATTAGCACAATCTCAATTAAAACTAAAGTGTAGACTGTACATATACACGCATAATTCACCATGTAAAACAAACACTTTATGGATACAGATGTGTTTTGCTTTAATAAAACTGAAGTCATGTTAGTTAAGATCGTCACTGTACGTTGGTCGATTCCTAGATTATCTATATTATTGCATGTTGAGATTTATAGAGAAAGTACTTCAAGTGTTGCGAGTCTTTCAATTTTATTTTTTGACTATAAGTAAGTTAAGATATGATTAACGAGATGACGAACACAAGCCAAGAAGTTTATTTTTGTTTGTTTATTTCAAATTATCATTGATATCTTATTCTAAAAAAACTATTTTGATCTAAACTAAAATATGAGATCAAAATAATGCTAATAAAATCAGCATCAATCGTTTATTTTCATATGACTACATTTCTATTTTACAAATCTCATTCTGTATAGACATGTGACGGTGCAATGTGTAGGTTGGCTGAGACTTCGGTCTCACTCGAATTAGGACTCTGAAGCTTGATCGCATTCAAGTTTAACTTTATTGGCCAAAAGAATCTTATTAAAGTGCAAAGATTTGAATTTTTTATATGTTTATATATGGGTGTGATCAACTGGCCTGATACCGCAGTGCTTTTTTTGTACATGCAGCTTCTATTATACATTAAAAAACTACGATAGACTCTCATATGCCTAGCAGATCATCAGCATTATACGAGTACTATAATTGGTAAAAAAATCATAGTTTTTTTTATCTATTATAGAAGCTATACGTACAAAAAAAAATACTGAAGTATTACGCCGGTTGCTCACGCTCATATATATACATGTTGTGATGAAGAAATCTAACAAATTGAGACGGCACTAAAGCTAACTAATTATGTCGTTATGATTCTCAGCGATGTCTTTTATTTTATTTGTATAAAGTGGTGTACACACTAGACCAATTCTAGAATTATATGATTAAAAGGCAAGAAAACTAACTACGTCGGAGTAAACTTCTTCTCTTTAATGATATTATCACTCACTTCATTTGATTAAGTGAAGTACATCTGTAATGATTATTAAGGCTTCAGCAAAATTTTTGCTACGAAAATATTCACAAAAAACAGTTTGAAAAATGTTTATTTGTATACTTATCCAAATTTCGAGCTTTCCTATGTTCTGCATGCATTCCACATTATAAATCTATCGAAACAACAGAAAATTATGATAATATTCTTCCTTATGACTGATCAAAACGTGATTTCATGTTAATATAAGTGGAGACAATTGTCTGAATCGGTTCTTAAATATTTTACAAAAAAAATCAAAAGGTCAAAAGTTATCTCTTTCGACAGAAAAAATTACTCTAGTCGATTGCATTGATCTTTCAATAAAAGTTTTCAAGATGAAAACAGTGAAATATCTCATGTAACTCAAACTTCCTCTTATGTTGATACGTTAAGTTTACAGAATCTTAATAATTTATCAGAAAACTATTGTGAATCCTAAAACCGACCGATTGTCACCGATTCTTTTAATGGTTTTTAAGTACATTAAAGCTAATCTTTTTGTGCCGATTTTAACGGTACAGAAATATCAGCACGAAAAGTTCCTACTGATAAATGCCTAGTTGACATAAAATTCCTAACTCTAAATATTGAGCTCACATTCTCTCATTATACGATGAAGGCCTTGAGTCATGCTGAATGAATTTATTACGGTAATGACAAATTAGCACGCCATCAGAGCTTACATTTGATCTGAACTAAAGATCTTGCATCACGAAATTTCGAGTTTACTTTTCTGGACTACTTTCACTGATTGTCAAAAACTCTCAATAGCAAATAGTTGTCAGTTCATGCTTTTGTTACAAAAATATCAGAAAAGACTTCCTTCTGTTGTAAAAGTTATGCCAACTATTGACCTCATGCAACTATTTTCATAGTTACATGATACCTAAAAATATTATGTTTAGCATTAAAATAGAAGTTTGTAACTCATATTCTCAGTGAAAAAATATACCTAAGAAAATTACGATTCTTTCTTATTACCTGTGTA